CAAGGTATTTACCGGAAGTAGGATGGAGAGTAGCGTCAGGTAACAAAATTTAAGTTGCAGAATGCATCATCCAACCGACTATTAAATATGGCTAGCGTGGCTGATGAAACAAAAGATTCTGGGAGAGCGTTCCATGGTTGACACACGAATGGGACAGAACTTTCTATTGCACTCCAGGCGGCTGTATTGTTCTGCCAACTTCATGGAGTGTCCTCTAAGATTGGTGTTACTGCTGCGTTGCTGTACAGAGCGGCACACATGAGTTGGATTGTGTAAAATCAAACGCTCCATAATCAAGTCGCCTCGTAGTCCGCGATACCGCCTGCTGAATACTTCCAAACGTTCCAGCCTCTACTCGTACGGAAGGTGGTGCATTCCAATGACTTAGTTAGAAACCCGTCGCTGAGGTTAGTCCAGTGTAGTAAGGTCGTGATTCAGTCATGGCTACCAGGCTTGAATTGCGTATTCGATATGGGGACGAACAGACGCATTCAGCATCTGTTTGAAAATAGTGGTGTCTAGTTGTCCGAACGCCCGTCGTAGAAAGCCGACGTGCTGGTTACCAGGTCTCGATGCCTTTGGGGATTGCTTGGAACAACCCAGGTTATCCTAAACAAGCATGCTAAGGTCGCTTTCGACGGATGGTCGCTGCAGTACTTGTGTTCCTAGCTTCTAGGCTTCTAGGTACTCTGGTGTAGTGTGGAGAGTACCTTGCATTTGTCCACGTTACACTGTAACAGCTTTCGGGTTGACTAATCATGTACTGTATCTGGGTCACCTCAAAGCAAATTCCGATCAGCATCTGTCTGTAGCCAGCGCCATATCTTGATATCGTCAACAAACAGCACGAAATTTGAAGCGATAGTCCATGCAAGGTCATTGATGAATACCAAAGCAACCGTGGACCTAAAACTGTACCCTGGGTCATACCAGACTCGACCGGTATGGGTTCAGATAGGGAACTCCGGACTCTCACGACTAGCTGTCGTTGAAACAGCAAGTTGGCGAGTCAGCTTAAGAGAGGAACACCGATCCCATAATATTAGAGCTTGGAAGTAGAACCTGATGATCTAAAGGATCGAATGTCTACGATAATTGCAAGTAGACCACAACAGCGGCCACTCAACGTCAGCTGACTCGGTCCAGCTACTCCACGTGATTAATAAATCCGTCGTGCACGAACGCTGTCGACGAAGCCGTGTTACACGGGAGCCATAATGTTACAATTTTCCACATAACACACCAACGCATCGACAACGATGGATTCCATGACCTTGGAGAATACAGGATGGGACACCGCACGGTAGTTTGAGGGCTCAGTCCTGGTTGGGAATCGGAGTTATTATTCCGTTTCCACATCGCAGTAATCTGGTTCTGGTCTAAGCAGCGCTGGAAGAACTGTGCCAAAGGTTTGCCCGTTGTTTTGCTGTTGCCTTCAGTGCCTCTGGGCCAATGGTGTCGACTCGCGGGAAGCTGTGCTTGCGCTGAGACGTCATCTTCCGCAAAAGAGCTTCGGTAATAAAAGAAGTGTGGGTGAGTCCTGGATGCGGGAAAACAAAGATTGGCAAATGGCCTGATGGGAAAACCCTCTGAAATATTGGTGCATATTGCCTTCGCAACGTGTTCGCCGTTTCTATGGCTGTTCTAGTTGGATAAACAGTCGTCCAGAGAGGAGAAATTCCTTGTCTCACCATACTACGTCCATTGACATAATTGTACAGCAGTTTATGGTTGTCGCTGCAAGTTTTCGCCATATTCTGCTTATATGCGACATTGTCATTTCTGAGCAGTTGAGTGTAGTGGTTACGATGGGGTACGCAGTTGTCCCAATTATCTGGCATTGGTGATGATTTATACTTCCGCCAGGCTGCGTTGCGTACCGTCATCCATTTGCTGGTTCAGCTAGACAACAAAGAAACGGTTTTGGACCCATTGGAAACCTTTGTCTCTTAGGCATCCATAACCAGTTGATTGAATTTGTTGACGAATTCAATTCAAGCGACTTCCGGATGGCCTTAAACGAGGTAGGACCAGCTTGTGACACTGACGAGCTGAGTTAAGCGGTCGTAGCGCGTAATATTGCGCACCAACTCAGGGTTCTGGCCGTAATATTCCACACAGCAGATGAAGTCCAAATTTATGAGTGCATCATCACTGCGACCAAAAGGGGATGCCACGATCAATAAATACAGCAATCATATGTTCCTCATTGGTGAAAACAAGATCCAGTAAAGAAGATCTATTACCTGTTTGGAAACGAGTGGGCGTAATCATGAGCATGTGAAGTGGAACACTGGCTAGAAGCTCTTGCGGATGTGCTTTGAATGGCTCTCCGATGGCAGAAGAATATCCTAAACAGTGTACTTTGAAATGTGCGTGTGCTATCGCTTAAGATTGCATCTAAAATCTGTCGAAGTTGGCAGTCCATTTCCGGTGTAGAGATTAAGGGTGGTATAACAAAGCTATAATGTACTTGTCTCTACCATCTAATTGCAGTCGGCAGTAGGATAACCGGTGAAATGAAAGCCTAAATCTTCAACGACATGGCACTGTAGATCGCTTCGGTAATACAGAATGAACCCTCCACCTTCCGTAAGCCTGTCCTTTTGTATGAGTGACATGCCCGGAAGCAGGACTTCAGCGTCTGTCATCCCAGTGTGCAACCATGTACCCGTGACATCGATAATCTCGCATAGCTTCGAAATTTGGAGATCCATCAGTTTAGCCAGCTTATCGAAAAGGCCTTAAGCATTTGTATAAAGGCAGAATAATATCTCGGTATCTAGGAGACCTCAGGGAGCCAAAGGAGTCAAGTGCGCTAGAATACCGAAAGATGTGAGGTCAGCGGTTATTCGTTTTTTGATGAGTTAACGATGACACGTAGTTCGCAAACTGATTTGGTCAAGGTATGTCCCATTTCTCGTCCGGACATGCTGCAGCATCGCGTGACCGAGCGGTAAAGTGATGCTCATGAGTAATCGCTGGCAGGATTGCTTTTTCAGGTAAGCGCATTTCTGGTCTCCGCAAGGATACAGCAGCTTTTAACCGACATTTCGATGTCTCCGCCAGAGTCCTGTCACTTCCGTTGATTTCTGCTCCGACCACACCAGGAGTTTTAGGATTCTTGGTCCACTTCCTCTATAATTTGGCGAGTGAGGTAGCCTTTTGTGAAATAGCATCATAACATTGTCCAACGAAATTGGTTCCCGAATAAACCGCCACTGTTCCAACTCGTGATTACCGGTCTCATGACTATCGTTGGAAGCAAGTTCTGGCACGCCATATAAAAAGATGTTGCTTAGCTAATCCAGGTTGCTATGTCCATCGGTGAGGTTTCTTTCGATGGTCGCCTGCTCCAAGGGACCTCAGGATAGATGCGCACCTTATAAGGCCGGTATTGTAGCGCACTGGCAGAGTGTAAAACGTTTTCTACATCAATGGACGATTCCAGTGTAATCCTAATAATTCTGGGTTCGTCATAGTGCGCAGATTTATAACGGGTAAAAGGCAGGTGCTTGACATGTCCCGTAGGGTTTTTAGCGTGACAAAAAGAGAACGAAGGGATAATCGAGTCGTCAGTGATAGGGCGATGGAATAATTCCTACGCTTGGCGATCCACTGGAGGGACCTGGTAATTCCGTGTCGGATGAGTGGAAATTGGACGATGTGTGATGAAATGCATAGGGCAAACCACATAAAAAGTTTGAAAATGAGTTGCACAGTTTTAACAAAAACTGGTAGTTATCCCAATTTTCTCCGGTGACGGAAAGAACACACAAAAAGGAATTGCGTGGTGTATGATAATCCAAAATCCGTTAAGAGTGCACGTAGCAAACGTACAAATTGTCGGAGCTTCGGTTTTTGTTCACTTGACAGTGACCTTGACCAGATCACCACAGCAATACTTGCCCGTCTCGGTAATCGAGCATCAGGCAACTTGTAAGAAATGTGAGTGTTCATACCATTGGGTGTTGATTACTGGTCTTGGTGCAAAGCTACATCCAGATAATCACAATGTTTACTATGAGTGGGGTCGTGTTGTTTTAACTGCACACCAGGTCCTTTCGGAACCAATGGGCTTTTACGCCGGTTGTTAGTAGATGTCGTGGGAACTACATCCGGTTGCCTATCTACGGTGTCAGTTACAGGCGAACACCACTTCGTTCCCCTAACGAAGCGGTGATTTCCTTCGCAACGGACAGTGAAACACTCCCACGGTGAACTTGGTAGAACGTAAACATGAGATTTTTATGCATCTCCCATGTACCCAACAACCTTAGCGTTTTAGTGCATCTTCTCACATTCCAGTAAACATTCCACGGGCAAGCCTCTAGTGTAAACCGATTCTGTCGCAAATGCCGTTCTTCACTGTTTGTATGCACACCAGTATTTACACACTACCCACTTGCATGGTTGGGAAGTATCATCAATCAGTAATGCGATGCAATGACTCACCCCCATGGACATTTGGGGGACAGCAACTTATCCTGCTTTAAATGCTTCACTCGCGTTTCTTACGTTAACTGCTCTGACCAGGTCCTCGCATTGACACACAAACGCAATCCTCCTAGTCGCTGAATTGGAGCCTCATAGTAACTTATTCGATCTGCATCAAGTTAGATTCTTGATGAGTTTCACAGTACTATCGTTACCTGTATCCAGCGTTGCGTCTGTGCACTGGTTCATGATTTCCTGCCAAGTTAGGTCAGTCAAGGTTCATAATCTCCAAACCGTTAATAGCCGTTCGTAAGCTGTCTTATGTGGTACTTTCGTTCAATCTATATGACTCTTACGGCTAGCGAGTTGAGCAGCAAAGTTAAATTGACTAGATATGTCCTATATACCACCAGGGGGATTAGGTTCACTTGATCCTACCAGGAAACAATGGTTAGGTAAAATGGCCATCTGGGACAGCGCTGATTTCTTCACACACTTGATGCCATGCTTCAACATGACCGTTCAATCACATAAATCTGGAAACAAAAGGGAACCGAACTCACATAATCCAGCAGATCAGCGGTTCGTTCTTGTAGCTCCTTCAGACGTTGCTCTATCCTCAGAACAGCCTGACCAGCCTCCAAGCGTTCTATCTCGTACCGCTGCAAGCATCGTTGCAAATGATCCAGCTGTAGGATTGGATGGGGGGGGGACTGGAAGTTCTGGATTCAGAAATGAACAACTAGTAGCTTCATTTGCACATCACAAAAATATATCTTTTACCCAAACCAAATCTCCGTAATTCAAACGCATGCGGAAACAAGTGGCTTAGATGCTGCTTCTTAACTGACCGCTGATATGTTCAATATACCAGATCTATTCATTTAACGCAAGGAAAACAGGCTGCACTAGACCAATCCTTACGCAAGACATTTTACGCGTTTGTTGGTTATTTCTGAGAGCATGATCTCCATAACGCTTGTCAATGAGACAGATTCTTTGTATGAGATTCTCCATAGGTCGCGGATTTCGTCTACCAATACAAAGTAGCACGTCACGAATACATCATGACAGACAGGAGCACCCAACAAATACACCGCGCACTCTGTGTTTGTGCTCACCTCTCTCTACGCAACGATCAAATGGTTTGCTCTACCACGTTAATACAATTATTATACTCATAGAAGTTAACCTTCGAATAGCCAAATGGTGCGTGAGAACCATTTCACTAGATCGTGGTGGGAGAGCGAATCCAAACACATAGGTAATGTGACATATATGGATGCGCGGTTGAACGTGTGCGCAATATGAAAGAGGCTCTCGCTTTTGGTGAGTGCTCATTTATGTGTTCCATCTGTTGGCCTGATGCCAAGATACTTCGACTATTTGAGCACTATAAAACATGTACATGCGAGAGATAGCATAGTGCGGAAACGGTGAAACAGTAATAAACATCAAAGTAAATAAACCATATGTTCCTCGATAGTGCGAGGCACAGACCAGACGAATGGTCTGATCATTATCTACGACGGGATCGCATCTATCTGTCTATCTATCTAGTTTTCCAGAGCAGTTCTAAATTATTTTTGGCAACACAATAAACGGCCCCGTATAGCCATGTGTCAGACGAGTTCGTGGTAAAAAAGGAGTCAAAACTTCGCTTTAGTGTAAAAAGCCTACAGCCACAGGTGATTAATAGTAATGTCGCCTAGAATCGGTAGCTTCTAAGCGAACTAGTGGCACCTACCTTCCATCGTCGTAGCCAATGCAATATCACAGCTTCTACTACGCGTCTGACCCTAGACACAGCACATGATGCGTCAATTCAGACCACCCTCGAATGGCACTGTATGAAGGCGCGAAGCTATCGTACTCACAGCAATTCGGTATGACACCACATCGATAACCCTGAACAGGTGACGATACTGTGAAGTTCAGGCTTCTAGTTGTGGGACACAACATGGCCTCCGTTACGTGGATGAACGTGGTTCTAGAAGGTTCCCCGGTCCATCAATCCTTGGTCATCTATTCTATGCATTACCAAGACAGCGCTGGTAAAATTCCAAGTGGATTCAATTACCTCAAGTCCATTATCATTGAGACTGTGTGCAATACCAAGCTAGTTCGTGACTAAAGTGAGCTGCGCTAATACATTGTTGGTGTTCCGGGAAGTTTGAACTCCTTCACTGAAGTATTCAAACTAACCGGAGTAACGATATCAGAGTGATTTGTGAACAAGCGGCTAATTAACTTGTCGAGCAGCGTTTCGCTTTTGACGCACAAGCACCGTCAGGCAACATGAAATGGTATATAGTTGGTGTGGTATTTTCTAGGGAGTGAGAAAAACTATGGTGACAACTGGAACACGAGTTAAGTGACTCTTACAGACACAAGTGGAACAGTCATCTCAAGTGGTCCAATTAGATTGGAATTATTCCAGAGCTTTCACCGTCGGTTGTGTTGCCAATTACAGTCTTGGTGAAGGTGAGGACGATGATGGTCTTCGGTATCGAACATGAATGGTGTATCGACGCTCTTCAGGCTGGTTGGTTTAAGATTGCTATCCACGCATTCGAGAACTCCACCTGCTCGATTTTATTCACAGAGCTATCGGCTTTAGCGATTTCGATCGGCTCCGCAGTTAACTCCTGTGGTTTCGATTGCAAACTACTAGGCGTTGGGTATGCGCGACGTCCATTGAAACGTCAGTTACAGTAGGTATTAAACACATGGGTAAAGTTCCCAACGCAGTAAATATAGGCGTTGGGAATTCCTTCGAGGGAAGGAACCTCGGAAACATTTGAAAGGACATTTGAAAGAGGACATACGGATGAACTGACGGCGTGACCAAACCTTGCGTTCAACGCCGGTGCGTTTACCCGATCCCTTTCCAACAGATAGGGTGACTGTGTGTGCAAAATCAACTGCAAAACCTTCGCGCACATATAACTTGGTCAAACAATGAGAGAGCTATGGATCCGGTTCTTAGAACACAAAGAATGAGCTTGTATACAGTGTATATTAAGATATTATTCCATAGCTGTGCATGTGTTCTGGATACCGGGTATCAGATCGCTTTGGCTAATGTCAAGGTCGTTAGGAAAGGTTTGCAAGCGATCCCCCAGAAGTTAAATGTGGAGCCGATCGAAATCGCTAAAGCCGATAGCTGTGTGAACAAAATGGAGAAGGTGGAATTCTCGAATGCTTGGATAGCAGTCTTAAACCAACCAGGCTGAAGAGCGTCGACAAACCATCCATGTTCGATACCGAAGACCGACACCAATATCACTGTTATAAAAACCGTAATTGGCAATACAGCGGACTCTGAAAGCTCTGGAATAATTCCAATCGGATTGACCACTAAAGATGACTGTTCCACTTGTGTCTGTAAGAATCACTTAACTGGTGTTCCAGTTGTCACGATTGTCCCACTCACTCTCTATAAAATGTCACACCAACAATGTACCAATGCACCTGGTCTGGCAACACTTTGGCGCCCAAAGCAAAATGTAGCCTAAAGAACAAATCAACTGATTGTTCACATGTCAGTTCACTCTTCGATCGATTGCAAGTATATTCCAAACGTCGGGAGTAAATTGCTAGAAAGTAGTTAAGGAGATATGCTCTCCGGTGTGCTTAAGGTTAGACAATCAGCTGCTCACTCGTAGATTTGTTTGCTCAGGATTTTTGAATATGTGTTACTTGTCAGCTAAAAAAGACAGTGCCGGGTCCTCCGATTTTGTCCAATGCACATTGAGTAACTAGGATGAGCATGTGAGGAATAGGTGGGTACACATATCGAACAAGGATTGTTTCACGCTTTCAGCAGAGCAATTAAAGTCTCTAAGGTAACTGATTTTCGGAATCAGAGCTTTTTAAGAGCCAAGGTGTGACCGGTAACGTTACGTGTACACCTTATACGAAGTTAGCTATATAACCGTTAATCAAACTGGGAGCGAAACCCACAGGATATGACGCACCGGGATCCCGTGCTAAATTCCGTCCACTCCCGACTCCTAGTGCTGAATTCGTTTTTAGTGGGCATCAGCATCGTCTCAGTCGTCTATCTCAGTCGCTGTAGTTCACAAAGCAGCAATCCCACACAACTATGAACGGAATAACAGTTGAACACACTTATGTCGACAAGCTGTTCAAATCACTTGACGACACCAAGCATTCGCCTCATTGAAAATTGGGTGCAACAGCCAATGAGTAGCTACGAACATGTGAGCGGAGGTTTTGCTGTGGGCCAAGAAGGTAAGCACATCTTCCTAGTGGACAGACTGGATGCCAAGTCAGGTAGCCGAAATGTGTAGTGCCACTCCAGCGTTCATCAATTGGTAAGCGAAGTATGCGTTCACACCATACCCACTTACCAAACCGGAGCAATGCACCGATCATTAGCTAGTAAACGGCACCCGCATTTTCCCTGATTACCTTGTTATCGCACTATTTTGTGAGTCTAGAGGCAATGTATCAGACTCAACTATCGTTGTCCTCAGAGGAAACGACTTTCCACCTAGCCTGTTGTACATTTCAACCTCAGCGCAGTCTTCCTCGCTACAAATCCCGTGGTTGTTCGCCAAAAGCACACAACCGCCGTAATTGCAAGCGTATAAGACGCCAGCCTGCACAACTTGTATTTTTTCAATAAGAAGCTCACTTTACCCAACCGCACGCAACATTTGACATCTGGCCATGTAGTAACGTAGTTAACGCCATCTGGAAGTGACAACAGCTCTAGCGAACAGCACAACTTCAACACCGGGTCACTAGATTCTAGCGATGATCAATCATTCTGCGCTAAATCAAGACATTCCCAAGATGACGCATTGTCACTTTTACTTCAGTTTCATTACTGAACTGTCACATTGGCCCATCCTCCCTTCACACGTGTTAAGCATGAGTGTTTCAGATAAGTTCAAGGAGGGTCGGTTTTAGGCGTGAAACAGACCTTAGTCAACCAATGTAACGAGGTTGAGACAATGCACTCTTGTCTCCCAACGTGTAGATACTAGGTGTGTCACAAAAGTTCTAGGACTGGTGCCACTAGAGATTTACTTCGAACGAAGCTTCACACTGAGTTTTTCCCTTCAACTTTATCCCTTCAGGAGTCTAGCGTAATTACCTATCGTTCTGAGTCATGCTTGTATGCGCTCCTCGAAGGATTTTTCCGGGATCCTCCGCAACTACATCTTCACATCGTTTTTGATGTCGTCTACCCCTTTAAAAATGGATCTCATAGGTGATGTTCTTCTCGGCCAGAACGTGTTAGATACCCAGGGCACTGCAGTTAGGCGCGGTGCCATGGTGAAGCAACCATGAGTTTTCCCTCCTCAACTCTCACTTATTCTCACGCACTGAAAGAAGCAAACGCTGTACTATCTTTCTAGACAGTTGGTTGATGGTTTGACAATGTGGAAACAAAATCTCACAGTGGACGACCACTCTCACATCGGAGAATTGGATCCACATGAGTTCAACTTGAACACTGTCGTGCTTTCTTTGCTCTTGGCAAATTCAGACTGTTTCACTGCAAGCTCTGACGTTTTGGTCTCCGGGTCGTACTAGAAGATCCATGACTTCTCCCCGGTGATGATTCTAATTAGCAAGGCTGGTTCGATTTCAAGACGAATTTCTGCTCTACAACAAGCTCAGGAGATCATCATTGGGAAGCCGCCTTGAGGAC